TTTATATTCTTAGAAATACATTTAGAAATATAAACCCTCATGTAGTGTTTTGTCACTTTGTTGATAAAATTATGGAGAATTCTGTGAAAATGGAATAGACTGGAGAACTTTAAAAGCTTGAGTTGGTGAAAGATTGCTCAAAGTGGAATACTAAGGAGAAACTTCATTAGTGTTAGGGAAAGAGTGAAGCTTTTGACTTGGTGGAACTAGATAATATATCTCTAAATATGACAAAAGCAACCAATTCCTTGGATCAGGAGTAGCAATCTTGGATAATTTTATCTTCAGAGGATTTAATTACTTAGAAACATTCTTTGGCACAAAATATGATGTCCCTCCATACTCCCCCCCCCCTTTTTTTTTTTTTTTCCTTCCTTCCCCCGTCTCCGGAAAGCGAGCACTTGGCTTTTTCTTCGTTTCCCTGGATGTGGCGGCGGGGCTGGGAGGGGGCAGCCCGGCGGCTCCCCCAGGGCAGGGCGAGGGAGGAGCGGGGAACGCTGCTGCGGGGGTGCCGACCCCTCACATGCCCTTTCGTGAGGACTGGGGTGGTTTGGGGTTTGGGATTTTTATTTTTGGGGGGTGGGGTTGGTGTTTTTTGGCCATTTTGAAGGATCCCAGCAGGCCTCCGCAGCGGGCTGAGCAGAGCCCACAGCTGGGCTGCTGGGACCCTTCCCATCCTCCCAGTCCTCCCAGTCCGGACGCTGGGTGGCGGGTTTGAGGCAGAAATAACAGGAGAGCGGAGGAGTGTGGGGGGAGAGTGGTGAAGAAAGTTGCCGCTCGCAGCGCTTTAAAAAACACTGCTGCTTCCTGATAGACCCATCCTGGGGAGCCGAGGGAGCCCCCGGTACGGGGTTGGGGTGGCAGGGGGCAGGAAGGTGTTTGGGACCAGCCTTCGAGGCTGCGGTGTCTTCACAATCCTCCTTCAAAGGTGACATGGTGTGAGGGGCCAAGCACAGGGGTTCATCCTGCGTGCCCCCCACCGTCCCTCCGCCCGTGTCGGTGGGTGAGTCTCCCATCCCGGTTTGGGGCTTCCCGATGGGCTCCGTTTCTCCTTGGCTTTGTCTTCCCGTTTCTCTCCCCATCATCCTCTTCCCTAGCAGTAAGGAGCTGCTTTGAAGTTACTCCTAAGCTCTCCCCGATGGGCAGGGGAGGAGCTGAGCCCCTTTCTCTGCCTTTTTCCGGGAGTCTCGGTGGGAAATGTTTCCAATTAAAATTCCAAAATGGCTCCTCGGCGCTGTCTGGCGGCACGGGGGGAGGACGAGGACGAGGACGAGCCTTTTTCATGAATGGATGTGGCAGGAGCTGTCTGTCCTGCTCAGTGACCCTGCCACAGCCGCCGAACCCGCTAACAAAGTTTCCAGGAGGCCTTTCTAATTAAACCATTTGTCAGTGTCAGATACCGATGGCTGAGCTCCAGCTTAGTATTGCCTGGAAGGGAGGTAGATCGGTGGGGTTTTTGCTTCTCTGCCTTCCTTCCCAAGCTGTTGAGCCGAGGAGCTGGAGAAAAGAACTTAGCAGCAGACACGAAGGGTCCCATCCCTCCTCAAACCTCCTGCGGTTTGGGTGAAGAACAAACCTGTGACACTGCTGTGTTGCAAAACGTGTTTGTAGGGATAATGTAGGTGTGAGGATCGCTCTTTGGCGAAACTCACAGCGTTTTTTCCTGCTTGAAGGTGAACTCTTTTCATTGGGTTTTAGTGCCTGGGCTGGGTATGTGGTTGTTGTTCTTGTTTATCTTTTCAGATGCACATACTTTAGTGCTTTTCTGTCTAGGTGGCATAATAGTTCTTGTCTAAACTGCTCCAGACCCATATTTCTGAGAAGCAAAAGAAAGGGAGATTGTCTCTTGCCATTGATTTTTATTTTTGGATGTTTGTTTCTTTTGCGAGTGAGATTTGGCCCCTGTTTATCACAAGCAATATCAAACTTTGTAAGAAACGGTCTTTGGTTTCCCAGGACCTGTTTGCTCAGTAGCAATCTGCCGAGGGAAGATGAGGGAGTAGGGAGATGCCTTTCTTGGAGTGAAATTGAATGCGTACCAACTTTTTGCTGTTAAAAGACTTGATAAGTAACATGCACCTGTGTCCAGATAGAAGGATTTCTCATTCTGAAGAATAAAATACCTTTTTCTCTCTGCCTTTCCCTTTCCCTCTCTCCTTTTCCCCCTTCCCAGGTGGCTTTAACAAGTTTCAGACTGAGTATTCGGAGCACTGCGAGACGAACCTTGACAGCTCCTCACCCAGCAACTCTCCCCCTGCATCAGTCCTTGGCCTGGGAGGACTGCGGATAAGCTCCGACTGCTCAGATGGCGAATCTGACAGGGAACCCAGCAGTGCCACGGAGTCAGATGGCAGCCCCATCCCTAACAATCAGCCTGCCTTTCCAGTCCAGATCCTACCTTACCTGTACCTGGGCTGTGCCAAAGATTCAACCAACTTGGACGTCCTGGGCAAATACGGCATTAAATACATCCTGAATGTGACTCCCAACCTGCCAAACATGTTTGAGCACGACGGAGAGTTCAAGTACAAGCAGATCCCCATCTCAGATCACTGGAGCCAGAACCTCTCGCAGTTCTTTCCCGAGGCCATTGCTTTCATTGGTAGGTAGTTGGCAGAACATCTCTTTTCATACTCACCACTTGGGAATGTGGCAAGCAACTTCCCAGGGCTGTTGCTCGTCTCTGGCCTCACCTCTCCCAGGCACAGCATCTGCTTACCTTAACAGCTGAGCGTCACGCTGCCGAGGTGATATTTCTGGTGCGTGTCACCTTGGCTAGGTTCAGGGAGGCCTCCCCTTCCAAAATTCGGTGCTCTTGCAGCACCTCATCTGGGTTATCTGTAAGTGGTAGGACTGGCCCCACTGTATCTTGCCCTTGTATGGGGATTTGTACTTGTGTGAAATGGCTGAACCGAGGCAGTGGGGAGCTCCTCTGCCTGCTTTGCTCAGAGGAGTAAATGTCGATGGGAGCTGCATTAACATGACTGGTGCCAGCAATTCCTTAGCCTGTGGTTAAAATTGGTGGTGGGGGGATGTTTTCTTTTCCTGATGGGATTTGCTAGTCTAGTTGTGGTCCCACTGTAAGTCACCCTAGCATAACTAACTCCTTGTATGGATACTTCTCCCAAGGTAAGTGTCAACACAATGAGTTAGTGATTATAATTACACTGCAGAGCTCAGATGGAAAAACTGCTGTGCAGACAGCCCCTCAGACAGCTTTGGCTGGTCATGGAGTGCGGGGGCACAGTGGGGCAGATCTCTTCACCCAAGCTGGTGTTGATGTTTGAAAATTGCTTCTTATTCTGTGAGAAGTGTCTGTTGGACTGAATAGGGATGTACACTTTCAGCATGATCTACGCTGTCTGCTGGTGATGGTCGTTAGCCTAATCAGTTCTGATTTATGAGGGGGGTGAATGGTACAGGTAGTCATTACCATCATTAACTATTAAAAGCCCTATGGCTTTGTGTCAGGTTAAAAACATCAGTGTAGGTAAAGGCAAGGAGGACCTTTATCTTCAGACTGAAATTTGTTTAGCCCATTTCAATCCTGGTTTTGGACCCTCCTGCATCCACTCACTTGCTGTGCTGTCAGGCCTGAAACCCGGCAGGAAGGTGGTAGGTCCTTGGCTGCTTTTCAGCCATTGGAAACCCTGGTTCCCACGTGCTCTCCTTTGCCTCCAGCTTCTGTCCTCTAGTAACACAACTGTGATCAGAAGCAGCTGCTTCAGTGTGGCAGCAGGGACCTGTCTGATGTCCCATCTTTACTTCCCGCATGGGGCATGGTATTAAATGTCAGAGGTGAGGTTCAGGGTCCCTGCTGGCATGTGGCATTTGGGATCCATCTGCTCCACTCAGACGATGTCTCTCTCTGCACACAGCACTTGTGCTTCCCAGTTAATGACAGGAAATGGAGGATTACCTCACTCTAAAACCAAACACCAAGAAATGCTGCACGGGTCAGATGAGAAGCAAAAATGTCTCAGAAAAATGTTGAATGGGGAGAGACTGAGGGGAGGGCTGGTTATGCTGGGGGTGATTGCCCACTCTACTGGAAATTCTTGCCTGGTTTTGGAAGCTAGGGCAGAAAATGTGTTGTGGCTTGGGTCTGGATTTTGTTTTATCTGCACCTTCTTTGCCATTCCCTGTGCTTATGGTGCCAGTGTCTTACCTCTGGCTTTGCCTGAGGATTCTCTTTTTTCTGCCACCTTCTCCGTCCTCGCCAAGCTCTCAGTCAAATGACTGACTTGAAATAGGGCTGCTCAGAAGTAAGCAGTGCTGGGTACTTGCGTGCATTCAGTGCTCTCAGCAGCGTGTCCCTCTTTCAGCACTAAGATGTCAATTCATAAAGGGATCACGCTGTTCCGACTGTGTGAGAGACAATGAGTGTGTGTGTGCTTTTCAATCGGTGGCAAGGGAGGGGAAATTTCATCACTGTTCTCTCGCCATTTTTTGGTCCAGCCTGCATTCCTGCTCCCTGCTACCATTCATCCTGAGAGTCTCCTCCAACACAAGCATTTGTTTGTAGTGAAGTGTGTTTCTGTCGATCCTAAAGAACAGTTTCACAATAAGGGAAGTTCCTGCACTTCAGAGTCTGCTTAAATTTGCTTTGACTACATTCACATTACTTTCTAGTGGAAGGAGGACAAGAACAGTAGAAGAGAGTAGCTTGTGTGGTGCTGGGCAACAGCCTTGCATGGAGTACAGAGCCTTCCCTGGTTAATTGGTGTTGAGGTGGGTGTGCTGTGCCTGACCACCAGCATCTCCCTGGAGCGGTTGTTTTCAGCTCCACCTACCTTCTGTGGGTTACTCCATTTCTCTGAATAGAGGGTACCGATGCTCCCTAGGCAAGGGATGTGTTGCTAGGCTTGATTAGTACTTCTCAAGCACGTGAGATACTTGGCCTTGCTGTGTGAACAGGGATGTGCAGCTTTGCTGTGCAGTGGGAATATCTCAGGAGCCCTTTGGGAGAGATGTGGGTGTCAAAGGGACAGAAGATGGTGTCACTAGGAGCAAGGGATCCAGTTCTGGCAGTTGTCCTGGTCCTGGAAGCTTGCAGCTGCCACCTGGCCCTGCTCCAAAGCTGTGCATTTTGGTGCAGAATAATAGACTCCCCCTTCCCCTTGTCTTGTTTCAGATGAGGCCCGTTCCAAGAAGTGTGGGATCCTTGTTCACTGCCTCGCCGGCATCAGCCGGTCTGTAACAGTCACTGTCGCCTACTTGATGCAAAAACTCAACTTGTCCCTGAACGATGCCTATGACTTTGTGAAAAGGAAAAAATCCAACATTTCCCCAAACTTTAACTTCATGGGCCAGCTCCTGGACTTTGAGAGGACTCTGGGACTCAACAGCCCATGTGACAACCGCTCACCCAGCGAACAGCTCTACTTCACCACCCCTACCAACCACAACCTGTTTCAGCTGAACACTCTGGAGTCCACATGAAGGGGATGCCACCTGGTTGGGAACTTGAGCATCGAATCGCTTCTCTTGAGCATTTCAACTCTTACAAAAATATCTGTCTTGCCAGGCAGCTCTGAAAGGACTAGCTTCTCTGGGCAGAGGTGCCTGATCGCTGCTTTAAGAAGGCTAATGCCGTTCGTTAGTATCCTGATCAAAGTGGTTTGAAGAGGTAGTCTTTTTACAGGGGGTTATTTAATACGGGCGATGTTACAGCGTTTTGAACGCAGCTGTTACCGGCAATAACCGCTTTCCTGGGTGCATTGGGACTGTCAGAGCACGCACACATATGAAGAGCTACCAGGGGTTAGCTTGCTGTGGAAAGTGAGGAGATTTATGCACTTGGAAACCTTAAACAAAAGGTGTTGGGCCAAGACTGTTTTAAAACCCAAGTTTACTTTTTTTGATTTTAAAAAAAGAAAAGGTAGATCTTACTCGAGCTTTGGGTTCAAACTCTTTTTAAATATGTAAGTTCCTGACTGTTTGTACAGACGAGGTTGCAAAACCAGTATTTTATTCGTTTCTTGTTTGATCATTTATTATTTTTTTTAATCAAATGTTTATATTGACCAAATGCATTTTGCACACTTTGTGAAGCCTTGGTATGTCCTGGCATATTACTGGGTACTCCAGAGAGAGATACATGCTGCTGCTGTTGTTGTTAGCATCTGGTAGGAAGCTTTGTTATGTGTGAAGGCCAGTTGGGCTTAAACGCAACCCCTTCACCACTCCTGCACTCACAATCACAAACTCTGCACTGATTCAGCCAAGGTGACTAAGCCGCAAGCTTTTTTTTTTTTTTTTAACGCCACCCCTGCCAAAAACACTGTTTGCTATTGTCAGAGGTAAAACTCTTGTAGCCTCCAGAGCTGGTAGAAGCATGTCTGAGCCCAGCTTCATTCTCTGTTGACTGACTTAACGTCATCCAGCTGGTCCAAAACCATTCCAGCTTCCTGAGTACAGAAGGTAGTTGTGACGATGGCGTTTCTCGTGCACACTTGATTCTTTTCCATGTGTGCGGGGTGGAGGGGGGCACACGGCAAGCGCCTGGAGCAGAGCGAGGATTGCGTAGCGGGACGGGACTGAATCGTCACGCATGGAGCGTGTGAGGGGAGTGAAGAGGTGTGGAAATGATGAGAAGAGCGATGTAACAGAGAATTTTTTTATATATATATATATATATATGAATATATATATTAACTGGCAAATTCTGAGATGATTGGAGCTTTCAACAGAGGTTCTGATTTCTTTTTTTTCTTCCTCTTTCAAATAACTTTATACCGTGCCTTCTATTCTGAGAAGACTTGTTTATATTTCTGGCTAGTGTTTGGCAAACACCTTATACCAAGCTGGGAGGGGAGGAAGTGGTAATAATTTCTGGGAGGAGGGCAGAACGGATTTGGAGATTTCTTTATTGGCTGCAATGTAGTCCCTCCTTTCTCCCCCCTCCCTATCCACTTTAACTCTCATGTAACTGAAAAAAAAAAAAAAGCCACGGATTTTTTCTAAATATCCAGTTTTTTGTACTTTTTTCAAGAAAAAGCAAAAAATAATAAAAAAATCTCCGTCTGGAGGAATGTTTGACGCTGTCACATCCTGAAACTGTTCTTTTTGTTAAAGATGTTACCAGAATGTTGGAATGAGCTTCTCTTTCTTGTTTTCTGGTTGTTTTTTGTTTGTTTGTTCGTTGGGTTTTGTTTGCAACAATGTTGGGATCGTGGGTCATTGGAATGGGCGTAAGTACGGTTGTGAGTGAGAAAATTGAGAATATCCTAATTGCATCTTACCTCATGGAGGAATTTATTTTTTCAGGGATTTTTTGACAGTGCATCTGTATTGCATTACAGCTAAGCTGGTTTGTAAAGGCTTCCTGTGCTGTTAGTGGTCTTTCTTCTTTAAAGTTAAAAAAAGATGCATCTTCTGATGAGTACAAATGAGAGCTTGTTAGTGAGGAATGGTTCTGCTTTCTGAGTTATGAAGGAAAATTAGTGACCCTATATATACTGATCCAATATTGGGACTTTGTTTATATTGCAAATAAATATTATTTTTTCTTTAAAAATGATGTTTGTGTCAGATGCTTGTCTAGCTTCTGCCCATATAAGGACATGCTGCTCTTATCCATTTTTTTTTTTTTATGGTCGATTAGTATTCTTCTGTGACCATGAAGAGCATTTGCTGGGCAGTGTTCAAGTGTGGTGTTTGGTTTCATGCACAGCTTAATTTTTAAGACCTGTGGTAAAATGGAGAGGGGGATGTGGGAGGGTGAGGAGAGGGATATGGGGTATTGGTTAAACCAGAGAACAAAGAACAGCTTGAGAATGGGACCGGCTTTGACCCAGCCATTCCTCTGTGCCAAAAATAAATATATAAACTAAAGACACTTGTTCACTGTTTAAGTGTGGCCTGCAAAGGCATGGCAAGGCCTTGCCTACAACTATTGTGGTAGACTTCATTGCTGTAGGAAGGCAAGAAGTCATGGCCTTGTGGGCCACCTGATCAGGAGTCCCCTCCTACATCCTTGGTGGGGGGCCAAGCCCACAGCCACAGTGTCACATATGGGTTGGGCTGTCCCCTGTGCTTCCTGGCCACGGGTGCAAGTGATTTGTAGGAAACCTGGAGGGGCTGGTGAAGATGCTTTAGGGTGAAATGTAGCTCCAAGTGTCTGAGTTCAGCCCAGTTGTGGCTCTCCATGCCTCTGCTTGTAGCTGGGCAGGAGTGGGTTCATTTCACGGCATTCCTTATTTTAACTTAAATGGCAAGAAATTAAATTACTATCTACTTAGTTGTTCAGTTCCTCAAAGTGTGTGTTGTCTTGTTCTTCTGATCCTAGGACCTGAGCACCAAAGATAGCTAGTCTTATTCCAGAAGGAGCTCAGGCTGGTGGATGTGAAGTCCCTCACAGAGCAGCTGAAGTAGTCAGAGACTGAAGCAGGAGTCAAGGGAGCGTGTGTGTGAGAATTTGTTTACTCCTTGCTTTCGCGATGGGAATCTATATATTGATTTGGAGGCCTGTTTGTGGCTCAACAAATTAAAATCTACCTGGTATGCAGGGAAAAGAAGACCCTTAGGTTTTCCCCTGTAATTACATGGCAGAGTAACTCTTGAGGAAGATATGAAACCATGCTGGAGGCTGGCTGAGCACTGAAGGAGTGCAGAACAGCTTGTCAGGTATATGGCTCTATTTGCTTCCATCTAATTTCCTCTTACGATTTTCTGCTAAGGTGTGGAATAGGATATTAGCAGTTAGCATTAGCTCTGTAAGCACATTTGCACGGTAGCTCAGTTGTGGCTGACTGGAACAGCACAGCTGCTATTTGTGACCGCCTCAGTGGAAGAGCTGGTGTGCAGGCAGCTGCCAGGCTGCTCCTCAGCAGGCAGCTCCCTCGGGGTGCCTGATCCTGGGAGATAGAAGTCTGTTATGAGTGTCCTGCCACTGCTGCACTCAAAAGCCGCTTTGCCAAAGGAATGAGACAGCTTGTGTGACAACCATCCGGCCACCTGCAAGTGCTCTTTGCTCTAGGACCCAAAGGAGCCTTTTCCAAGTTTCATGGACTTGACAGCAGGGAGCAGCCAGCCTGGCTGGTCCTCAGCCATCAGTGTTTTACAGATGTCTTGCACTGAGCTTCTTGGCTCCGAGGGGTTTCCTTGGAGACCTGATGTCCTCTAAGTTAGTGAGGAGACAAGAACTGGCATCAAGAAAGAGGCAATGCTGGAGAAATAGTTACAGAGAGAAAAGAGAGCGTGGGGTCTGTCTACACTCCCTTGCAGAGGCGGGCACGAGCACTAGCTGAGCGTAGGAGCACAGGCTGAGTGAGAAAGCTGGTTATGTTCAAATCAGTGGAATTTGGCAAGGAGATACCGCTTCCCACACGAAGCAGGGAGAAGCTCCTCGGTTAACCCATTGATTGCAGACAAACTGCTTGTAAGATGCTTTGTTCTACAAAACCAGATAATCTGCTTGGGCACAAAGACCTGCTGTCCCTGGGTTTTCACTTGTGATGCCACAAGCCCCTAGGCAATATGAGTGGGAATTTATCTTTTTGTTTGTTTGGTTTTTTTTAGATGATGACTTTGTACTTACTTCTCTGATTTGAACAGTTAGAGGGACCACAGGACCCAAGTGCTCTCAAAAAGTTTCTCCCTCCATTTCAAGTCATGGCAAAAGCATAAAGCTCTGAAAACAAGTAGAGCTAAACTTCTGCAGTTCCCCACCCGGAAGCCTGAGTTGCTGATTTTGAACACTTCCAGCAGGCCTCTGCACAGCACATCCCATTCTGCCTCCTTCCATGCTGCCTGGCAGAGCCTGGCTGCTCACTCCAGCTGGAGAGGGAAGGGCAAGGAGAGCAGGTATGTCCTGAGCATGAGGATGACCGAAATTTTGTGAAACAGAAGAGCAAAGAGTCAATTCCTAGGGCAGCAAAGGGAGGTTTACTTGTGGTCATACACAGCAATAGAGAGACAACTCAAAAGCAGGGGAGATGTGCCCCAAACAACTGCAGGAGGGAGGCATGAAGGGGTGGTGGAAGCAGCATCAGGAGCCCAATGAGCAGAACACGAGCTTGGGGAAGGTGCTGTGGGGTTACTTGTATCTCCCTTGCTTGTGTCTACCCTTACCCCTCTCCTAGGCCCTTATTTCTTGGTGTGGCATCAAACATGCTCTGAGCATGACGCAAGTCAACCTCCGCAGCTCTGAACTTGCTTGCTATTGCGTCACACAGATGCATGTGGGAAAGCAGACTCTTCCTGCCGCCATCTGAATTTGGGTGCTCATATTTCCAAGGTAACCAGGTGATTTGTGGGCCTTTATTTTCTTTTTTTTTTTATCCTTTATGTGAGCAAATCAGGCTGTTTGCAGTATTGTGAAGGCATGTAAATAGTTCATTTAATCAACACATCCTTGTATTTACAGCTGACTGGAACAGGCTGTGATAGTCATGCTCTGGGCTACTTGGAAAGTGTGCAGTGGGCTTTCTTATGGATTTTGTGTCATTTGCTCCTGTGCTTCTTCAAACCTTTATCTTAATTATGCTTGAAGTCAGATTGCTGGGCTGGATAAATATAGTTTGGGATGAGAGGGCAGATGAGGAAATGTTCAGCAGGTAGGGAGAGAAACTCATGGGAATCCCATACAGCCTCCACATCTGGTTCCTGCAAGTTCCTCTATTCAAGCTGCAAAGTTCTGTTTTCTGCTGGCTTGTCTTTTGAGCTTGTTACTGTGTTGCCCAGTAGCACAGGCCCAAAGTATGGGCTGCAGTGAGGCTGCCCAGAGTGCCGTGAGGTCACTGCTGGATCCCCAGCCCAGGCGTGAGACTTAGGTGGTAGGAGATGCCACCAGAAAAGTGTGGCATGAGGGCAACAGCAGTGTTGTGTGCTGGCAGCTGTATTGCACTGAGGAGGCTTGCCGTGCAGTGATGGGGGCAAGCAGGTGCTGAGGGCTGCCATGCCTGGCTGGGCGATGTGGGGTCCGGGCTGCCACGCACAGTTAAGCTAGTGACACGATAAAGAAGCGGCAAACGTGCCTGTTTCCTGGGGCCATGCTCAAGTTTAAGTGACTGTGTGGCATCTGTTTAGTATCTGCCTTAAATTGGGGGCAAACTGAGGTGGGGAGCAATACGGCAGTGGACCTCAGGGTGGGCAGTGGCAGCCATTTTGTGTCCCTCCTCTCCACTGCACGCCCCCTCCTGTCATGGCTGCTGCTGCCCTGAGGGGTGTGCACTGGCCCCCATTCTGGGCCAGCAGGGCTCGTAGTGAGGGGAGAAATTATCTTGGTGAGCACTGTCTCCTTTTCCTAGACTGAGTTTGTCTCTGCTCTCCCTTTTTTCCCCTCCAAAACACGCAAGAGGCTATGGTGACACCTTGGGTGGCACCTGAGGGGACCCCGACTGGGCCTAGGAAGGTCTGAAAGACTCGTGGCCATCATGGTGGTACAGAAAAGTGGCTGGGTCCCGTGAAGGATGTTCATGGGAGGATGAACATGGAGGGGAAGGCTGTGTGGCTGGCAGCAGCTGAATCCCCGAGCCTGCAATGGCAGCAGCAGTCCTTGGCAGCAGTGACGGTGCTGGAATCAGTGGTCAGAGTCTGTGAGCTGCTTGCAGTGGAATTGTAAGTTTCTGGTGCCTCCGGGCTCCTCCCTGACACCTTCATGCTGCCCTTCTCAGCTGTGTCACGATCGTGTTTTTGGGCTGGGAGCTGGGTCAGGGCGGAAGCTGCGGTTCAGCTTTGATGGCTCAGTCAAGGGTTGGGGATTAATTATGAGTTGGGAATTAATCATGCAGCAGGCACAGACACCCAGGCTGGCTGTACAGCCCCAGATTGCTGGTGTCTGGCCTCTGTGGGCCATGTGGACCCCTCAGTGCTGGGGCGGTATGGACACCCCTGCCCTGTGTGGTGCAAGGCAAGACCACCAGCACTCTCTGGCCTTTCTTTCTCCCTTCTGGTTGGTTGTGCTCGTAGCTGAAGTTCCACTTGTTCTGTCTGCATTATCCTTATTTGCTTTCCCTGGTTTCTCCACTACTTTCTGTTTCTTCACATAGTTGGGATTTGAGGTACTCTCACCTGGCAGCTGCTCCTCTGAAACTGTGTTCCTTCTGCAGGAGTGGCTTTCTCCCAGAGACGTTGGGGCATGTCAGAAATGGAGAGCTGGGGGGGGGAATGTGTGTTACTTCCATGCCACTCAGTGGTGTGAGCGATCCAAGAGCATGTAGGGCCTTAAGAAGTAACTGGTGAGGGAACCAAGCATGAGTGGAGGAAGGGGAATCCAGACAGATTTATTTATTTTCCTACTTTCTTTCCCTGGAGAAACATCTGGCTTATGTAAAGCCATTTGCTGGGTTTCTCACTGCTTTATTTTGAAAGTCTGTGCATTCAGGCACTCTGCTCTTCTCATCTCCCTGCTCTTCTCATCTCCCATCACTGCCTCAAGGGCAGATTCTTCACGATTTGGGGTTTTGCTTTTATGAAGTTTGGTCTTTGTTTCTGGTCTGTGTTGTCTTTTTTTCTTTTCTTTCCTTCCCTCTTCTTGTGAAGGACTGCTCTGGTTTGGCTTGTGGTTTTGCCTTGTTT